GCAGGTGGCTTCTTGGAAGTGACGGAAGTGTTGAAGAAAACTCGAGCTGCAAATAGTTTCCAAATAATGCATGTTACGAAAATCTTTTCAAGGTTGAAAGAAGGTTTGGTTAGGGCTGGTCCAACAAATAAATTCAAAAAAGTTTATGAGAGAAAAAGGAGGAAAAAGAAATGTGGGATCGTTGATTTTCTATGGTTCTGATCAAGGAGTCAGTTTCGACCATGGAGATTGTTGAGAGGAAGATCTCAAAGGTGTCGAATGGGGGGTGCCTCTTTCAGTCAGGGTTCTTGAGAAAAAGGTGGGATTGTCCATTGGATCAAGGGCATTGAGAAGGAAGGTGGAGATTTGGAAGACAAGAAATCTGACGAGGCTTCTCCAATTATTAGGGGGAAAGGAGGCCCATTGGAGATTAAGAGTGTAGCTTCAAGAGATGTCAATGTTGGTAAAAGTTTATGATTCTTCTTTTGGGGTGAAGGAGCTTGCTAAATGTGATTTTGAAGCTTCTGATAGGAGTAAGGAGGAAAGGCTAAAGAAACACATGGTGGGAGGAGGAGAGGCATGGAACGAGGACAGTAACGGTGGGGAACAAGTTCAAATGTTGGGGTGTTGGCATTGGGCAAAGGTGTTGGAGGGTGGCGGTAAGGACTGTCAGGTAGAGGGTGTGGTTTAGGAGTTTTAATTTTGCTGGAAGATTTTTGGAGATTGTGTCACCCTCTTCTTTTTTCTTTTTTGTTTTTGTTGTATTTGGCTTGTGTTACTCTGGGTGTTGTCTCAACACCTGCTGCCATCTCTAATCAGTTTTTATTTTAATGAAAATTTCTTTTATCTTTCAAAAAAAAGTCAAGGACACTGGTTTGAGGTCTTAACGTGGCCATCTTTTGAAATTGTATCTATGTCCTCTAAGTTTTAGATGTATGGATTTTTAGAATATTTTAAGCATACAAGTTTTACTTTCTTAGGTGTTATTACTTGTGTACCTACAAATAATTATGATTATAATTATCAAAAGGAAGAAAAAAAGGTATGATTACTTGTCATAATTAAAAACTCTTGTTGATAAATAACAATGAAATTTTCATTTATTTGAAGAAAACCAGCTACCCAAAAAGCTGGGTAGTGGAACAAAGTACAAAGCCAAAGCCAATATCTATGCCACCTACAAGATCAATGGATATGTTTTTTTGATAGGTAAGAATAAAAATTTCATTAAAATAAAAGAAGAATACAAACTGTTTGGTAACAAGGCATCACCCACTTACAACAAATAAAGGATGCTGCCAAGACTCAATAAATTTTCCAAATTACACATTTGAAAACCCAAAACTTCCCCTAACTTTTCCCCCAGGTCCTCCTTGTCAATTTGTCTGAATTCTGGATGCACCATAACCCAATCATCCACCGATTTGCTAAGAGAAGCTACTATACTGTCCAAGTTACAGGAATTGTCATAAAAAATTCTTCTATTCCTCTCCTTCCAAATATTCCAATGGACTGCAAAAGGAATGCAGCTCCAAATCACCTTCGCCTTCTTGCTACCTCTTAATTTTGGCCATGAAGAAAAGATTTCTGCAGCTGAATTTGGCTGAAATTAAGAAACATTAAGAAATACAAGATCAATGGATATTAAGAAATATTACAAGCCTGTTCCCTACCCTGGTTCTCCCCACAAAAAAATGATTCCTTTGTCATCCTTGTTTTTGTTAGAGCATCAGATAAAGAATTTATAGACCTAGAGGTCCATCTGGATGAGCTATTTAGATTGTGACATAATGTCTGCACTTGTCCAACAAGGGGTCTGTACATCCAGTCCAGGGTATTTCCCCTTCTGTACATCTGTGCCAATTGGTCCTGAATAGCTGAGCAGAATATTGCTATTTCTGTCTCTTACAACTTCACCTATACCTGAATCTCAAGGATTGCCAATATTGCAACCATCAAAATTAATATTGAACTTCTTCTGTTCTTGTTCTGTCCATTCCTCCCGTCTTTTCTGATTTCTGAAATGATTTGTAGCCACTACTTGCCATTCTCTCAATAAGTAATCCCTTGTAAGTTGTAACCCTAAGTTCATCAAATGCTAATGTCCAATGAACTACTCTCACCATAGTGACATCAACGAAAAAATTTGCCTCTATTTTTTTTTTTTAAATCCATGCATTCCTCTTGCCACTAATTCCTCAAAGGATGGCATACTCTGTGCAATTTCCATAGATTTTTTTGCCTTTTTGTATAACATGCTACCAGATTTATGGAGAAAAGATGACTAACTTTAGGTGGTACAGTCCAAGCTCCTCCAAAGATAACTAACATTTAAGTGGGTTTCATGCAGTGTTAGGCTGATCACACGCTATTTGTGAAGAGGGAGCAGGATAAAATTGCAGCCTTGGTTGTGTATGTGGATGACATTGTCATCACTAGTAACTAGGAGTTAGACATAAAGAGGTTGGAACAATTATTGGCGTCTTAGTTTGAAATGGAGGATCTAGGACCCCTATGATATTTTCATAGGTTTGAAGTTGCCAGCTCTAATAATGGCATCTTCATATCTCAAAGGAAATATATCCTGGACCTTCTTCAGGATTTTGGCAAGTTGGGGGACAAACCAGCTGATACCCCTATTGAGTAGAACTATAGATTGGAGGAGGGTGAAGGAGAACCACTCCCAGACATTAAACAATTTTAGAGACTGGTTGGAAGATTGGTGTATCTATACATGACTATTGCTAGAACATTGCATATGTTGTAGGAGTTCTTAGTCATTATATGCATTCACTGATGCTAGAACATTGCATATGGTGCTTAGATACTTGAAGACCTGGTTGGGGTCTTTTGTTTGCTAAACATGATCATTTGAAGGTGGAAATATACACTGATGCTGATTGGGCTAGATCAGTAGATGATAGGAGGTCTGCTATAGGATATTTGATGTTGGAGTAGGATGGGTAGGGGTCCTATTAACTTAGGATTTGGTGGTGGGATTTGTGGGGTGAATGAGGGGCTAGAGATGAGTACTGTTTAGAAAATAAGACCAGATTGCCAGGTTGGATCGGTTGAACCAGTGACCCAGACTCTGGCTTGTTTAGCCATACCCTAAAAATCGAAACTTATAAAAAATTGGCCACAACCAGTTGATTGGCTGCTTTAAGCAGAGAACTGGTGAATTGGCCCCAGTTTTATAAAATCACTTGGATCACTAAATGGATGGAATTTCAAAATGATATTGGCAAGACTTGAATCCATGACCTTTTATTTATGTATATTGTCTTGTTACCATTAATTCATTTATTTTTTTGTGTTCATTTACGTGTCTTTAATGCATATATTGATTTAATACACACATATTTCAAAGAAATTGTGAGTTGAGACTTGAGAGGCTTGACCCTTGGTCATTTGTGGGAGTGACTTGGTGACTTGGAAGAGTAAAAAAAAATCAGTGGTTGCTAGATCCAGTGCAGAAGCTGAATACCATGCTATGACTCATGGTGTGACTGAGGTTTTGTGGATTAAGCACTTTCTTGGAGAGTTTGGATTCACAGTTGATGGCCCCATGTCTCTTTATTGTGACAATAAGACTGCTATCAACATAGTGCCAACCTTATTTTACATGAATGAACCAAGCATATTGAAGTTGATAAGCACTTCATTAGGAATGATTGACATCTTTGACTCAACGTGAGAGTGAGTATTATTGTCTTTTTGTGCTTTAACGAGTCACCCCAATAAAATAATAAAGTGGGTGCTGCCAGTCACTCTATGATTCCATTCTATTTCATTTTGTTTCTTTTCTCTCTCTTTTTCTCCCTTTTCTTCTTTCTTACATTACTGCAGGTCTTATTATACTGGTTTCATTTGTCTATGAGGACTTCGCAAGGATGCAACCGTTAGCAGGACTACAAAGTTCACAAATAGGAAAGATCATTTTAGGAAATTGATGTTGGAAGGGATCTAAAGAGTAGTTATATGTTGGCTAATGAATAATGGTCAAGGCTAATGACAATATTGAAACATAATGAGGGAGATAAGAGGCTTGGAGAGGGAACTAATAATCAACTTTTGTTGGGTTCTTAGATTGGCAAGTTGCTTGGTTGAAACTATGGTTAAACAGGGTGTCAATAGATTCCAATTGTTTTGGGGTCGGTTAAGTGAACATGAAATATAAATCATAAAAGTAAGGGTTAGGTGGCAGGTGTCAACCTAAAATTTATGCCTGGTATTCATAAAAAAATTAATGCCTGGCATCTTTTTTATGCCTTTTATGCGAGGAGTTTTTTATTTTATTTTTTGACTAATGCCTTTTCTACCTGCTTCATTCCATGCTTGTAGATGTTAGTTATTGACATGCAGTTACTCTTTTTCTCATTGGTAACAGTTGAAATTTAATAGAGTTATAGCATTCTTTAGTTGCCAAGTGTTGAATATTTTTGGCATGCAGTTATAATCTAAATCTTTTTTATATTGTAATGTTGTGTAAAAAATGCTCTTTTCTTTTGGATGTCATGATTTACCATGGCTTTATAAAATTATCATTGTTATTTTAGTTAAAAAAAAGCCTTTTTTACTTTTCAATTTGTATGCTTAGTATTTCTTAACATGGTGGTTTTTCTTTTTTGCTCTAGTTTGTCTCAGTAGTATCTTATCACCTGAGATTGTATCTTCCTGCTATTTTTCTTTTTAAATTAGTCTTTTTCTTTTACTATAAGAAAATTTGTATACTTTCTTTTGTATATAACACTAGGAAACTAACATAGAATTTAGTTTATTTTCCTTCGTCAAATTTTATTTCCTAGTCCCCTAACTGATAGGCACTTTTCTGTCCACTAGCATTGCTTATATGCCTTGACAACTTCATTCTATAGTTTGTTGGGCCCTTAGTACATCTTTGTCTTTGAAATAATTTTGGTACTGCATTTAGGATGTTACTGCATGCAAATGCATTAGTGTTCTGCACTGTGTCTCACATTCTTCTTACCCTAAATATTGTTCATTTCTTTTTTTATTAGGGGTTACAAGCGCTTCTACAGAAGAGCTATGCTTGAAACATCAGATTTCCTCAAGGATGATTGCTTGAAAATTAATTGCACTGTAGGTGTTGTGGTCTCGGCAATAGATTGTTCAAGGTTGCACTCTATACAGGTCCCTGATTCTGATATTGGAGATCATTTTGGTACACTTCTGGAAAATCAGGAAGGTTCAGATATTGTCTTTAATGTGGATGGTGACAAATTTTATGCTCATAAGTTGGTTTTGGCTGCTCGATCCCCTGTATTTCGTGCTGAATTTTTTGATGGGTTAGAGGAGGAAGATAAGCATGAGATTATTATTACTGACATGGAACCTAAGGTTTTTAAGGTGACAACTTTCATATATCTTAAGGTCCATTACAACAAAAGTTAGTAATAATGTAATATGCTTATTTATTTACTTGGAGAGTGCACTTATTTATTCATTTTCTAAATTATTGCCATATTTACCGGACAGGCACTGCTGCACTTTATATACAGAGATACACTTATAGATGATGAAGAGCTAGTTCCTTCAAATTCATCAACATCGAGTTCATCTTGTGTGTCCCCTGTGTCTGAGACGTTAGCAGCAAAGTTGTTAGCTGCAGCAGACAAGTATGGTTTGGCAAGACTTAGACTGATGTGTGAATCTTACCTATGCAAAGATATATCTGTGAATTCTGTTGCCAAAACTCTAGCCTTGGCTGATCGTTACCATGCCATGGAGCTTAAAGCTGTTTGCCTAAAATTTGCTGCTGAAAATCTTGGAGGTACGGTTTTTTTGTCTTCCAGCTAGATGTTTTTCTTTTTACCCAAACAAATTCATGTCTGAGATTTTCCAAGAGTAAGTTTCAATTCCACTTGTGAGAGTTTGGACTGCCCAATTCAAACTCATGTGCTTTGTGGGAATTCAAACCCACACCCTGATGGATATCTATTGGAACTCCTATGTATTAAAAGGGAAGTGTTCGATATTAGCTTTCCCTCTCTATCTCTTTCTCGTGGGACAAGTAACAAATAATGCATTAAGGTCAAAGAGCCTCTCTATCTCTTTCTCGTGGGACAAGTAACAAATTATATAAGCATAGCATTAGGATGATGTTCCTGAGCTAAGCATATACGAACCTGGATTATCCAAAAATCTAAAAAAGAACAAAAAATATTGTACTCCAGTCCATCTTTGTTTAAGGTCAAAGAACCTGATACTGTTGAAATCTTCCAGGATAGATGACCAAAAGAACAAGAAACCGAAAGTTATTAATAACATAGAGTTATTAGTTGGACACCTGAGGTCCTCTGGCAGAGGATCTGATGGTCCATGGCCATTAAATGACCACATTTGGGAGGCTAGAACCTCTGCACTCAGCATAGTTGTCGTCATTAGACTCATTACATAGGCAATGCCAAGGTGATAAGGCATTTTTTTGAGGGGGTTGCCTTGTCACTGTACTTGGTGTTTTCAAATAGGGGTGAATATTGTACAAGGATAGAAAAGGTAAAAGGTCATTGCAAGAGATTGGTCCTGATGGATTTTCTATGGGCTTCTATTGAAGATGTTGGGAGATCATAAAAGGACTTAATGAGGGTTTTTAAGGAGTCCTATGAGAGGGGCACACCTAAAAAGGGAGCAAATGCAACTTTATTTATTTAATTCCTAAAAACCTAGATGCCTTACATCCTAAGGACTTCAGACCAATTAGCTTGGTAGGAAGTCTCTATAAGATAGGTCCATTCTTTGAGATTGGGAGAAGTGCTACCTTCTCTGGTGTCTCAATGCCAAGGATCATTTTCTTGATAGATCTCAATACAAAGGACATTTCATTAGAGGGAGACAGATTACTGATCAGATTTTGATTGCAGATGAGTGTCTTAAGGAAATGAAGAGATCAGGGGGGAAATGGGTGGAGTTGTAATCTGGATTTAACAAAGGCTTTTGACTTTGTGGACTGGTTTTTTTTTGGATGAAGTCCTTAAGAATTGCAAATTTGGAGATAGTTGGCTAAGTGGGTAAGATGTTGTCTTCATTTGTGTCATTATTTGATTCGATGTTTTAAAATGCATAGGCGTGACAAAAGGTGTTCCACTACTCAGAGGTGTGACACGTAGTTCAAAAGGCAAGAGGTAAGCCCCTAGACACAAGAAGGTATAGACATTGTGTAGATGTTTTATATTTTGCTATTGTGGTCTTTCGTGGCTGGTTTCATATATAGTGCACTATGATTAGTTTTTTGGGGTCCTAAGGAGCATGTGCCCCTTGACGGGGGTGTGGGGACAAAGCCCCCAACCAATGAATTCATATAAGGGCATTTTGGCAATATTACAATAAACACATTTGGAGGATTTTCATCATCTGCATTATGTTAATATATAATCAAGAACATGATATATATATTTTTGATAAATAACACTATCATTTCATTAATGTAAACAAAAATGTACTATGAGGATCCGATAAGTGTAGATTTATCCCCTAGAGTACAAAAATTACAATTGAGCCCAGTACAACTGCCCTTGTTTACCCTTTGCTTAGCTAAAGAATTAGGTGGCGTTTGGTAGTGTGTATATATCGTGGTCCCGTCCATGGTAAGATATGGTGTTCTGCTATGTGTAGACGGTCCCTATCCACAAAATAGCGTGGATAGGGACGGGCCACACCCCAATTTATCGTCCATAGTATTTTCTCGTGAATGGTCCACACTATGGTGTGGATAGTTTGTGGGAAGGTTTTAGTGTAACGCACTTGCGTTACATCGGTCCAATTACTCTCATTTTATTTAATTTTTTAATAAATTTTAATATTTTATCAATAAAATAATAAGTTTTAATGTTAATTCTAGCACAAGTCCGCTGGTTCTCCTTCTCAATTATTTTTTCATTATTTAAATATTAAATTTTTAATATTTTTATCAATAAAATAATATTTAAAATATTAAATTTTTATTTTTAAAATTTAAAATAAAATCTTTTAATTTAAAAAAATGCAATTGTTGTCTACGTATTGATTCCTTTTTTTTCAATTTATTTACCGTATAAAATGCAAAAATTAGACATTTATGATTGACTATGTAGATCTCCCATAAAATGTATATGAGATACATGGAATCAAAAAGTATGGTGTGGATGATTCCACACCACCTACAGAACGCCACTATGGGTGTGGACTGGTCCGGCCCACACAATCTATCCACARTTTAGAACAACTATGGACTGTGGTGTGGTGTGGGTTGGTCCCTGCCACAGGGTGTGGGGTGGACCAGTCCACACCTACCAATTTCTCATCTACACTACAAAGCACCCCCTTAGCCAACCCATTAGCATCCCTTGGAACTCATTCAATTGTTACTGCCATTCCCCTTATTAACCATTTGATATTCTTAATTGCCTCTCTATAGATTCAGTTTGTCTTCTTTTCATTCTGTAGCCAGCTTACCACCACTTGAGAGTCCCCTTCAATAACCAACCTTCCCAAATTCTATTGTTTTGCTTTTTGAGCCCCAAAAAGTACAGCAAGAAATTCGGCTTTAGTGGAATCTCTTAGGCCAATAGGTCTCAAGAAAAGAGCTGTTATACTTGAATCCTCCTAAATACCCCCACCCCAATGCCTGAGGGGCCTGGGTTACCAAAGTTGTTCCTATCAACGTTAAGTTTTATGAAATTTTCCAAAGGTGGTTCCCAAGCTTTTAGGGTTCTATTTTTTCTTGTAGACAAATGAAGCCACTTCTTGAGTCATCCAAAGAGTAAGGTGATAACAAGTCCATAGATTTAACCCAATGGATCACCCTTATTAAATTGCATTTCAAGATTGCTTCCAAACTTCTTTCCTCTGCCTTGAAGAATTTCACTTTTTTTTTTTTTAATTCCCAAGTTGTCTATAGTACAGCAGCCCTAATGGAACATGATAAAATGGTTCATGGCTTATATTTGTAACATTTTTGTTGACAATTTAGTTAATGGGCTGAGACCTTATGGGCCCAACTTTATTTTGTTTGTTTCAGTTTAGTTATTTTATCTGGAGAGATTTTCTAAGAGATTAGCAGGTTGGAAAAAGGAACTACATTACCTTAGGGGGTAGAATCACTTTAATTAAGTCTATACTAGCAAACTTGCTGGTGTACTTTCTGTCTACCTTCAAGATGCCTGTTAAGATTGCAAACCAGATTGAAAAAATAATGAGAGATTTTCTTTGGGGACCTGGTCATTCTAAAAAGGATTATAGGGTAATGTAGGAAGTGGTGTCTAGAAAGAAAGACAAAGGGGGATTAGGGATCGGAAATATCAGATTAAGAAATACAGCATTGTTAGGCAAATGGTTGTGGAGATCCCAGCAAATGGATGGGATGCTAGGATCGGCCCTAGGGCTTCTCGCTCCTCGTGGGAGGAAGACATTGTTGGTGTACTGCCCCTGTTCTCAATTTTCACAAGGTATGATGTTTGTTTGGGTAATAAGGCACTTTTTTGGGAGGACACATGGATTGGGGACTCTCCCCTTAGAGATAGTTTCCTGATCATCTATTCTCTTTCTTTGAAAAAATTTCAAGTTATTTCTGCTTTTAGTGTCTCTAAGGACTCTTGGGATCTGGGGTTAAGGAGAGGCTTGAGGGACTCAGAAGTGGGATTGGCAGATGAATTGTTTTCTCTTCTTAGTTCAGTCTTCTTGGGCCTTTCTTGTCCTGATAGTAGAATTTGGACCGAAACCTCTTTAGGCTGTTTTTCTTGTTCTTCCTTCTTTAATGCTTTGTTGCCCCCTACAAACCTGATTACACCCTTTCCTGTTAAAGTCTGGAGTGTTTCAGTGCCTCCAAAGGTAAGGGCTTTTTGTTGGGAGGTGCCTAGGGACATGAGTTTTTTTTTTGAACTGAATCGATTTGGTCGGTTTCTTAATAATTCAAATTCGAAACTGAACCAATGCAACCGGTTGACTGGTTAACCGCAGCTTGGTTTTTCATTTTTTTTTGTGCAATAACCTTYCACTCAAAATTAAAAAGAAAGGAAAAAAAACCTTCCTTCCATCAAAATCAATTTACGTATTAAAATAAATTGATTTAAATTTATATACTTCTTCACTTTTATTTTATTGAATGTTCCAATAGGTTATAGACTTATAGTTTATATAATTTGTTCAATTCTTCTAATCTAAATAGTGAAGATTATAAGCTGTATGTACAAAGGACAGCCATCCCTGATTCTTGTACAACTCTCACTAGATGTTTGGCATAAAAATGAATGTTCTCATTTTGTAATCATCTCATAAAACTTGAATAAATAAATAGGCATTGGGGCATACTAAAGTTTTGAAATGTTATAGTTTTATTTCTGCTAAATCATTCAAGGGACTTGTAATCTAAATCAGCATGTAATCCAATCATCTCAGCCACTTTTTCTACATGAATTTGGGCGTTGAATTTGAACTATGTTAGATGAACTGATGAAGATAAAAGGACTGTCAAAATGAGAAACTTGCCTGCAAAGTCTTGGGACATCAACTATATCATTTTTGAGCTACAATGCTTACAGAGTCTTGGCATCTTGGGACAGATATTGATGGTTTGCAACTTTGCATCAAGAGCTAGTGAGAGCCTGAATTAGAAAAACTTGCCTGCAAATTTAAACAACATAAATGAGAATGAAAGAATTAGAAAAGCTTCACATTCATCAAATACCTAAAACAAGCTGAAATGAAAATACAACAAACTAAACCATTAATTAACATTCATTCACTCATTTAGTAACAATCCAAAACAAAGAAAAAATACACTATAAATGAACAAGC